ATACTTAAGGTCTTTTTAATTTCTATTATACTACTCACTTCGTTATTTTTTCTGCAAACACTGGGTAAATATAACTAGGTGAAATTGGTTATAAATTTGACTTTAAAGATGAAATAATAAATAACTAAACATTTAAAATAGTTGTATAAAATTAGGTATCGCAAGCTTATTGCATATATATAGTTAACTTAATGGAGTATTCTTTATAACCATTTTTCATGATAGTAGCTTGAATGATAATAATCATATTTAAAAAAACTACTTTTAATATTTGCAATTATACTTTTTTTTGTTATTCCGTTATCAGAAGAATGTAGCTAAAGAGTAAGTAGTTAAATAATTTAAGGTAAAGTAGATCCTTAAAATGTGATTTATAATTTAAGATATGAAGGTTATGATTAATTATTATTCATTTATAATAATTATTTATTATGTTTTTACTATTATTTATTATATTTAACAAGTTTGTGTTTAAATTTGATTCGATAATTGTTAATCAATTTTTCAAGCTTATTGAGTACAGAAAATCTTTTTTTTCAATTCTCCTTTAAATTTTGAACCTTTTCCTATAAATTAATAGAGTTTAGTATTTATATTTTCTATATTCAAATTTTATTTTATTTTAATTCCAATCAAAAAACTTAATGGATTATTTGAGTTTTTTTAGAATACTAATATAATTACTAATTCTTTATTACAAAATATTAAACGTCGTTTTTTATTAATTTTAAATTAATAGGAAAGTTAATAGATTTAATATTTACAATAACAGGAATGTTGACAATAAGAAAGTTTGTAGTAGTAATGTACTAAATTCACAATATAAAAATTATATTATCTCTCCAAAACAAAACTACTTCAAACTATGTTAATGATGTCCTCTTTACATCATCAGCCTTATCTCAAATATATTCTTCTTTTGATTTTCAATATTGCTACTTATTTCTATTTTGTACTTAAATAACAACACAAATCAACATTAAACGACAAGCAAAATTTAATCATATTTTTAATATATGGCTTAAAAGCATGAAGTAATGTATATCAAGGCATGCTAATTATGTAGTTATATATATTTATCAAAGCTGTTGTCTTAATTATTTTTTCTACTTCCAAAGCTTTCATCCATCATCGACTTTAATATTACTATGTCTCTGTACATTTTGCTCTAATTTATCTTCTATTGCTGTTGCTCTATATTTCCTTATTTTTATTCTCTAGACTCTAGCTGCTTATTAATCATAATATATCTATATATCTATATATCAATCATTCTTTTCACAAAACAAATTTTCTTTATCCTACCTTTCA